CCTGAGTCAGCAGCTGAGGGCATGGGGAGGCGAAGCCGTGGGGTGAGGGACTGTGGCACAGCCTATGGATGGGGTGGGATGGGGACCCACGAGGCACGATGCCACGGTGTGTTTCCTCCACCTGAATGCCTCGTGCATCACCTGTGGGGGATTAGGAATGAGGCTCGGAAGAAAGGAGAGGCAAAGGAAAAAAATGTAGCAGAGTCCTGGGGATCCTGCACAGCCCCAGGCGAAGCCGTGGGGTGAGGGACTGTGGCACAGCCTATGGATGGGGTGGGATGGGGACCCACGAGGCACGATGCCACGGTGTGTTTCCTCCACCTGAATGCCTCGTGCATCACCTGTGGGGGATTAGGAATGAGGCTCGGAAGAAAGGAGAGGCAAAGGAAAAAAATGTAGCAGAGTCCTGGGGATCCTGCACAGCCCCAGAATGGAGAGGGCCCCAGTCTGCTCTGATGTGAGGCTTGGAAACAGGCAGTGTAAGGAGCCTGGACTACTGCATTGCCTCCCTGCTGGTGCAGGATGTCACTCACCTGTCAGCTGGGCTTCGGTGGTGAGGTGCTTGGGCTCCTCCATCCAGGGGGTGGCATGGACCGCCACGCTCCAGTCGCTCCATGTGCCGATGTCGTTGTCTTTGGCGGCCACCTGGATGATGTACTCCTTGCCCGCATAGGCGTCTGTGATGGTGTGCGACGTCCCGTCCGACAGCTCGACCTGCATGGACAGGGAGAGAAGGGGCATCAGTGCAGAGCAGCTTGCGCACCGGGTGGCAGAGGTGGGGACGGCCACCACGTCGATGCCAGCATCGCCAGCCTCCTTGCGTGCTCTTGCAACATCAGAAGCCGCCAGCTCCGTGTCCCCTTCCTTGCCTGGCAGGGCAATGTGGGTCCTCGCTGTCTGTCCCTGCAGCAAGAGCTTCGCCCTGACAAAGTGTCTCTGGTGCCACCCCGGTGTCACGGTGGCTGGGGAAGGGGCACTGCCACTGCAGAGAGCCAGGAAGGAGCCGCTGGCTCAGAGCCAGGGGAAACCCCTATCACCAGGAGGCAGCAAGATGCGCAAGGCGAGCAGAGCATTTAGCTCAGCTGGAGGACAATGAAGAGCTGATTTTATAGCACCTAAGCACCCTTGCAGGCAGAAAATAGTAGGGACTAATAAGCCCTTTATACTAAAGGGAAAAAAAAGGCAAATCAAGGCTGAGTGCAGCAGTGGGAAAAAGGGATGGCAAAGCTGCATGCATGGAAACAGCAGGCAGGCCCTCGTGCTGGAGGAGTCTCTCTC